AGACTGGGCCGCGCCTCCTCCCCCCCACACCCCCCTTACCTGCTTCAGGCTTCCCGCGAATCAAATGTTCGCGGGAAGCAGGGGAGGGGGCGGAGTTGGGGCGTGGGCATGGGCGGGGCTGGGGCCGGGGCCCCATGGAGTGTCCTCCTTTTGGAGGCTCAAAATATGGTAACCCTAACAAACTGGGGGCATTCAACTGCCTAAGTTGATGCAAGGCCTGAAACAAAAGAGCTGGGAGTAGGCAGAAAGGGAGGAGGTCTTTCATTATAAACTTTAGCTTAGGTAATAGGGTACCGGGACCCTAATAATACAAGAAGGCAAGGGGCTCACTGGTGTCTGGTAGTGAGTTTCAGCTGGTCTGATCAGTTCAGTGTACCCCAATTCAGTAATGTCATAACCTGTGTCTAAAAGGTGCCATGTAAGATATCAATAGAAAGCTAATAACATATTGATCATTAATATTATTGTATGGTGCATGTGCAGAAGACAAATTCAAAATTATAAACATATTGGGAAAGATCTTGTTCAAGTGTCTGCCAGACTGGACTGAAGTTACCCCACCTAGACAAAGGAATGTGGTTCTGCCACCTTGATGGTACTTGATAGCAGAAGGCACTAGGAAGGAAGGGGAAGGGTGAGCGCAGAGCACACTCAGGGGAGGGGATGGAACAGGGTGGGAAGAGGAAGGCAGGGATGGGGGTTGAAGGAAGAGGTAGAGTGGGGGGTCAAGCATCCCCTGGCAATTCAGAAAAATGGCACGTCTGGGGTGTTGATTGCCAGGTATAACCAACGCTGGCATATATCAGACCATGGCTGTGATGTAACAAGCAGGCTGCTGGGATCAGAGTTGCTGGTTCAGAGCTGCTTGTCACACAGACACTCAGGGTATGCTTGTCTGTGGGCTGTCAGCATCCAACCTGTGAGCCACAGCAGCAGAGCATTGAAGGCACTCAGGGTTACAGGGCAGGTAGTGACACAGATCCTCACTGGTCTGGACTGCATCCCAGAACATGACAAGTACTCACCCAGGAAGTGGGAGATTCCCAGTTCAAGTATCCCCTCCTCATGAGGGAGAGAGGGGATTTGAACAGAGATCTGCCACCTCTCAGGTAAGTGCCCTAACCACTACACTAAAGATTATAAGGGAGCTCCTCCTCCCCCAGCTGTTTTGTGTGAGTCGCTCAATCCAATAGGTGGACTCCGAGCTCATCTACCATATTGGGTCCCCAGACAATACATAGGCGGCTGAATGCCTGTCTTCCCCAGTTCACTAATAGGATGCAGTACGTGTTCTCAGAGGCAAAAACATAGGTTCCTCAGGAGCTTTTTCGGTAAAAACTTAAGTGCCAAGTGAGGTTAGGTGCTCACAGGATTAGGTGGCAGCCAAGCCAGAGTTTTGTGGATCTCACCGGTGCCTAAAAATGGGACTCAGGCACATAATAGCACATGAGTACCTTAGAGGATCACACCCAAAAGCCTTTGTCCCACTTAGGGTACGTCTATACTTACCTCCGGGTCCGGCGGTAAGCAATCGATCTTCTGGGATCGATTTATCGCGTCTTGTCTATATGCAATAAATCAATCCCGGAAGTGCTCGCCGTCGACTCCAGTACTCCTGCTCTGCAAGAGGAGTACGCAAAGTCGACGGGGGAGCCTGCCTGCCATGTCTGGACCCGCGGTAAGTTCGAACTAAGATACTTTGACTTCAGCTACGTTGTTCACGTAGCTGAAGTTGCGTATTTTAGTTCAAAGTGGGGGGTTAGTGTGGACCAGCCCTTATATAGCAAGTGCTTTCAAAATTCTTCAAAAGCCTGTACAAACACAGAATCAAATCCAGCTTGCCTTACTCATGCGAGTAGCCCCACCACTGTAACCGAGAGCAGAATTTGACACAAGCAGACTACTTATTGGAATATGGCAAACAGGATTTTGTCGATTAGTTCGTTAATCCTCAGAATACCCCTGGTAGTTAGGTCATTTAATTTTGAAAAAAGTTAAATTTTCTCAAATATGGGCAACATTTTGGGTGAAATGTAGGCCCATTTTCAATCGAAGCTGCACTGACAATTAAAAAATCAAGCAAAATTTACACGTCTTTATATTTTAGATGTGAAAACACCTCGTTCACAAAATTTCTTGAAAAAAATGACACTTTCAAACACAAAACCACCTAAAATTAAATTATGAAAAAAAATCCAAAGAGCTTGCAGACAGATTCTCATGATCCTAGTATAAAACATGGTGGTGGTCTGAGTGTAATTCCTAGTGGACAGATGTCCACATCATAACACAAATCACCATTGGCAGTGTCAGCAAAAAGACCAAGGACTGAACGGGTCTGGAGACAACATTCCTTCAAAACCAGCCTGAGGAGCAGTGGTGGAGCAATGTAGGGAACTTTCCATTCCTGTACATGTTCTGGACTTTAATAAAGGACTTCAGTCTTCAAGACATGATTTAGAGCCTCCAAGAAACTAAACTTTACAGGAGACTTTCCTTTACAGTGTTCTAGCTAAGCAACAGCCTCCATTGTTTTAGGCTGTACCATAAATCATCAGCACCTGAGTTATGCATAATGAACAAAAGACTAAGGTGCATAATAGCATCAAAATCAATTTGAGATCTCATTAAAAACTGCAAAGAATAAGACTAGTGCTACGATTAAAAGTATTAAAGAGAGTAAGCATCTTTTTGTATTCTAAATTAATAAAATATTGTTCAAGTGAAGTGCTCTGATAGTAGTAGATGGGCAGGGCATTGGTGTCACACAATAATATAACATTAAAGAAGTGCTTCAAAACAATCTAAACATTTAAGTGGATTCTAAAATTAGAGCCCACTAAAAACTAGTATATTTCCCTTTTCAACATATGCCTTATTCCTAATAACATTATTGAGCATTCCATACTTGGATTGGGCCAAAATCCGTCTCAGTTAGAAGCACCCAACTTCCACAAAAGGATACTGTGTGCACATGTGTGCAGCATTTGTCTTTAAGAGAGGATAATACACCTATAAATCTGGTGAGTTCTAGTGCACAGGACATTCATTAACTTTAAATTAACTTGCATATACATGGATACATATCTAAAGTGCCTGATAAAGTTATGGGAAACTCTCATTCAAACCATTTTTTAAAATCCATCGGACTGTTCCTATTTTCATGCCTATTGCATTTTTGGTATTTTGTGCTTTGTAATACTAAGGGCCCAGTTTTGCTAACCCTATGTTTATAGAACAAGTCAAACCTGCTGAAGTAAATAGGATTTCTGAACATTAAGGATTTGCAGTATTGTCTGTAATATGTTTTAGAATGTTTTAAATGTATTATTGTATAGCAATTTGAGTACTTTGGTGGGGGTGTTTTATAAATAATAAAATTATTAATTTATTTATTAATGTGAAGGGTTTTTTTTATAAGATGACAAAAGCATAATGGCATAATATCAGTAAAATCATATTGACTTTATCTCACCAAAATTATTACCAGAGACTGAATACTTTATTTTGCACTGCTGACAACTTAACAACCATTCATTATCCTTTACTATTGTCAACACAACCAAGTTTTTAAGTACTCAAAGGGGAGAAACAATTAGTGAAAGTTATTATATAATAATATCTTTTAGAGACCAGATTGATATATAAAGTGAAGAGGGAGTAGATAATTTATATAACCTCAAGGAAGCAGAGTCAGACAGAACAAGGTATACCTCAAACTTCAATGTATTTTCTGCTTCTGTACAGACACAACTTAAAGAAAAATCACACTAGTTTTGATGCATATTATACGCCAAATCCTGTTACTTTACTAACTGGGCCTCATTCTGCTCTCATTTTATACCAAGCTAACTCCATAGGCCTGATTTACACCAGGATAAGGGGGATCAGAATTACGGTCACTGTCTCCAAGAGGGCACTTAGCCCCTTGCAGGATTGGAACAGCTATGATTAATTGTCCACTTTTTCATTTAAAACTGACTGTGCGGTTTTTTTTTAATGGGATTTGTGATGTTGGAAAGTTTTTCTCTACAAATGAACTGAAAACTAGCATGTGATTGTATTTCACGTTCTATAATAGGTTGATTGGTAAATAACTCCTTGGCAGTTTTCACTGCAACTTCAAGATGCTAGCTTGTTGTGACAGAACTTTTGACTTTAATTGTCAGTAAATTCTGTACATCACCTGACGACATGTAGAAGGTTTTAATATTTCTTCTGCTCCCATTGACTAAATACCTTTTAGAAAGGGGTTTGTGTTTCCCATGTCTCACAGAGTGATGACATCCCAGGTTTATCCAGTTTCCTGGCTCTTTTGGCTTCAGGCATATGGAACTTTTGCCAGGCCTCACACTGTCAACACACAGTCAGCTGGACATATATCACTTCGAATTTCTTGCCTTTCAGCAATATTACCTTAGATTGGCAGAGAAGACCTCATTCTAGCCTAATTCCAGAATAATTCCAAACAGTCATTTCAGTCATTCTTCTCTACAACATAAGTCATAGACCATCTTCTATTCTGAAACATAGAATTATTAAACTGTATTAGAAAAAGTTGTTTGTTGCAAAGCATGTTCATTTTTCTGAGTAAAAAATAACTTTAAAGGACAGAATCCTTCACTTTATGTGCAATACACTAATGCATATATGTGCTTATCTACTGAGAGAAAATATATCTTTCAGTTTATAGATAGCAGGGCACAAAAATAATTACGTATTTTATGTTTCAGGTAATTTTCTCTTTAACATAGTTGTTATAACAAATCTATATATATAGTAGTAATAGAGCACATGAAGTAGCATTATCAAATGGTCTGAGTGTGGGAATGGGCACCGGGAAACCCTGGATCTTAATCCCAGCTCTGACACTGACTCGCTCCAGGACTTCAGGTAAATCATTCTACCTCTCTCAGTCTCATTACCTCTGTAAAATGGGGGAAATGATGATGATATACTACCTGCCACATTCCCTATTGTGGAGCATATTACCTCAGTGTAACTCTAACCTTTTTTATTATGTTAAGTGCTAGATATTCTATTAATAAAGGTTAATGCAATAGACTTCTTTAAAAATACATTTACTGTGCACAAAAATCAAATGAGATTATGAAATGCAGTGAAGTGAATAATTAGTAAATAAAAGAATGAACCTGTAAATATAACAGCTTTTTCCTGTCATCAATCCATCTCAAAACTCCCATTGACAACCATGGGAGTTCCATATGTGGAACAATGGCATGAAAGATGGCATTAAGCTCCAAGTCCTTCCTACAGACCCCCATTTAAGTAACTTTGCTGGGTGCTGGGGAATTCTGGAGGGCAAGCAAAATCTATTTGTCTTAGATTTCCATATTGTGTTTGTTACCATATCATCAAATGAAGTCCCAGAATAGTTGGTATCTAAGCAAAAGGGCTAGAATAGTTTCCATTGGAATTAGGCATCTAGGCACTTTTGAAAATCTCAATAGGCACCTATCTGTATCTTGAGGTGCTTACATACCTTCAAAAATCTGATGTACCAATGATATACCTGAGATACGTTAATGATATTATCATCCTCTAAGCACAAAACCTAAACTCCACCACAACTTTAACCACCATCTTCCATCCATCAAACTCTCTTTGGAATACTCCTGCACCAACATCAGCTTCCTGGACACCATCAGCTTCAGCAATGGAACCCCACAGATCCAGTAACCACTTCAGATACACTAGGAAATCTGTTATCTACAGTCAGACACTCAGATACACAGAATATGCTCCAAGAAGAAAGTCCGGGATACACACCATAATACACTTAAAATTGCCTCCACCAAGCAAGGACACTCCACCAGAGAAGTAGATCACATAATGGAACGAGCCTCCCAGATGTCCCAAGAGAACCTGCTTCAATATGGAAAAAAACCCTCTTACCCTATAACACCTCATTGTCACCTACCACCCCGCACTGGAACCCATATAGGGATATCATTAAGGAGTTACAACCCATACTTGATGGAGACCCCATCTCCCCACAGACCAGAACACAGACCAGAACACGCAAACTCAAAGCAGCAGCAGATCCTGCCACAACAACAGATGCAAAACTTGCAGACATTATTTCCACTGCTACAACAAACCCCCTTAACCTACTTGCAAGATCTATGGGTCCTACACATGCCTATCACAACACATGGTGTACCTCATCCAGTGCATCAAATAATCCAAAACTATGTGAGTAAAACCAGACAATCACTTTGCTCTCTACAAACTCACACGGAATAATTATAAAAGACAAAAACACTCTTTCTCCCATGGGCAAACACATTTTAAAAACTGATCATCCATATCTGACCTCTCATTCCTTGTCTTCAAAGGAAACTTACACAACACCTTCAAAAGTAATCCTGGGAATTTCAATGGATAACTCTGCTAGACACCAAAAATCATGGACTCAACAGAGACACTGTTTTTATGGCTCATTACAACAAATTGTAACTCTCCTTTGTTCTATGACTGCAAAGGTATTAATTGCCTATTGCACTGTAACTGGTTATCAGCAACTTGTGTTAACCCATTATGCTTGTATGAAGATGTGATACTCTGATTACTTTTCCCAAACCTGAAGAAGGGCTCTGTGTAACCTCAAAAGCTTGTCTCTTCCACCAACTGAAGTTGTTCTAGTAGAATATCTCACCTCACCCACCTCGACTCTTCAAAAATCTGGCCCTTTGTGTCCTCTCACTATACATGCAGTGGAACCATATGGTCCTACTGTGTCAATGGGGGAGTATTTGGGCTTAAATTGGTAGCACACTTCAGAGTAACAAGAAAGAAAGAAAGAAAGAAAGAAAGAAAGAAAGAAAGAAAGAAAGAAAGAAAGAAAGGAGACTGCAGGAATAAATCTGTAAAATCACTTAACTTTTGGTGTCTCAACCCAAAATGTAACATGTTCTGTACAAAACAGGCCTCTTAAATGGGAGGCAGTGAAGTCCAGTAACTATGCCATTAGACATGGACTCTCTTCTTTGGTTTGGGCACTGGCCTAGAAGTTGGGAGACACAGGTTCAATTCTATACTCTGCCACAGACTTCCTGTATGATCTTGGGCAAGTCACTTAGGCTCTGTGTGCCTCAGTTTCCCATCAGTAAAAATGGGTATAATAGCACTTCCCTACCTCACAGGAGAATTGTGAGGAGAAATGCATGTAAAGATTCTGAAGCACTTTGAGAGCTACAATGAAAGATGTTATATACGAGCAAGGTAATATTATTTCACTGTGACTTTTGGGGAAATAAATCACATGCTTCAGTTTCCCACCTGTAAAATAGGAGTAAGGGTACCTTCCTTTGTAAAGCACTTTGAGACCTACAAACAAAAGAGCGTTATATCAGAGCTAAAGATTATTTATCTCAATACTTCTGACAAGATTAGATATGGATTTGTAAATGAATAACATTTGTATATAGGAAAGTCAAGCATTTAATTTGTTTCCCCATAGTGTTTTGTAGCACAAGATAGCACACAGTGCTGTATTGATGTAGGGGAAATCCTGCCTTCCTTCCTTATTGCCACAGAAGACTAACTACAACTCTATGTGATCCCTCCCCTCTTTGAGGGCTGCTTCTCCTACTACTTAGGTCAAATAGACTAGCCCCTTTCACAAGCACTGAATTATCACACAAAGTAAAAGCAAATTCTGACAATTAACTGTGGTCTACAGCAGAGAGTAGGAAATAGCACCACAAAAATCATATACATTCAGGAAAACATGAGTTTTTTGTCAAACACTTTCTTGTCTGGGTTTGAGTAGTCTGAGTAATGTCAGAAAATACACAGACCTGGGCCTAGGACATCTTTAAGAAAAATGTTCATTTAACAATGTTTTATTATATATCATTGAATAAAGTCATAACACAATATTGCATTTGAATACTGTTTTGACATAAGAACATTGGGTTATAATGATTTATATAGTCACATACAGGATAGAGGTCTTATATAAACTGGATTTATTATATTATTAGTGTTAACATTTCTTAACTACTATCATACACTGTGTAAAAGAGGCAACATATTTTAACCAAGGTTTCACGCTAAAAGATTCACCATTTTGTTCTGTGATATGTTGCACTCTCAAAATATTGCCTTTCTACAAAATTTAAGTACCATGAGTTTGAGTGACATCAAAGTATGTAATAACAAGAGATCCAAAATACTGCTTAGAAGTCATAGTGCTTTCTAGCTATTTTTGAAATATTTTCCTTTGTGGGTTTTGGCAAGTAAATTGGAGATGAAAAAAACCCAACAATAACAAATGTAACTAAAAATGCGGTGTCAATTCTTCAAATACTAATTTGCCTGTTGTGTCTTTTTGATTATAAACCCCCCAAGGCTGGGATTGTCTCTTTTCTGTTTGCATAACGCCCATAATAATAATTTATACTCCAGCCATGGCTATTCTATAAGACCATCTCCCCCATTTGAGCTCAATGGGATGACTCAAGTGTGTAAAGTTAAGCATGTGCATAAGGTCCTAATCCAGCAAGTGACAACATGTGGGCATACTGCTGTGTTGAATCCACACAGAGCTCTGCTAACTTCACTGGGACTCCATGTGGGTACATAGTCTGCCCTCAAGCTATCAATTGCAGCAGGGGTGCCCAAGAGTTTACAGGATTGGAGCCTTTACAATTCTTTAAAACAAAAGTCATTTCATCTAGGCTAGGGCTTTTTAGTTGACCCTTAAACAAACTAATGATTTCTTCTTATTATTTCATTTTCTACTAGTGTAATTTAAAAAAATATATAATTAGATATTTTTTCTGATTATACATTTAATTACTCTGAAACAGCCATTTAACTCTTCCTATTGAAATACTATCAGTTACAGAGAAATTGCTGATATTTTATTTCTCCTGCACATTTTAACGATAGGAATAAAACATCTACATAGATGATCAGACCAACTCAGAAAAAAAATGAATTGGTCTAAACTCCATCCAAACACCTAACAGAACCCAAAATTTTGGGAGGGTTCTGGTAAGTTAAATTAAGTAACACCCTTACTAAGGATGTTAATGTAATCAGATATTTTTTAAGTAATTGTTTGCAATAGAGGATTACTTTATCAAGTACTATTTTGATATATAATTTGATTACTCATCTAAAAGAAGCATAATGGAGACTTCTTTCAGTTACTTTTCTGTGCTGTCTTCTCATTATTATTACTATTATTTGTTTTGTGATATGCCTTTGAACCTCAGTCATGGACCCAGGGTAGGATCTACAAAGGTACTTAGGTATTGGAAAGTTGAGCATTGGGTGCCTAGAAAAATCACAGGAGCAACACTGTGATCTACAAAGCCTGAGTTAGGTGCTCCCTATCCTATAAATGGGGAGACTTAGGTTCCTTAGACAGGATCTACAAAAGCCAGCATGCTATATGGGGAGCCACCTAAATTAGCTGAAAGGAGATGCTGAATAATGGGGTGTGTGCTAGACTCTGCCCCTTTCTCAGAAATAGGCACATACGCCCAG